GTGGGCGAAAAGCGCATCTGGATCTTCGGATTTGGCTAGAGCATTAGAACGAGAACCCTTGTCCTTCTCTCCTGCCGGGACCACCGTCGAACTAGAGATGGAAGAACGACCAGCTGACTTGCGATGTTCGGCTGAGGATGCGCTTCCCCGTTCCATCAACTCGATATCAGCGTTCTCGGCCTTGTCCCCAGGAAGGCGCTCATTTTCTGGAAGAGCCATTTTTGCTCCTGATGGAACGTAGAAATGTCGAGTCTCACAGTTGTGATTGTGAGGTCGGAAGATGTGTTGTCGAAAGAAAGAGAGAAACGAGAGGACGAAGCGCACTACTCCATGAGGAAGGTGGCTTTCGGTAGTAGGTAGGTGAGAGACGCTGGGAAGACTTCCAAATTGACCACCCTGTATGTTAAGAAGAATCGAAGGAAGGGTGATATTCTCAAGGTAGGCGAAGGTGTTTCGCAAGCTGGGCGCAAATCTTGTCGCGAGCTATGCTTCCACGCGCGGAGGACCTAGAAAGGGATGGTATGGAATGTACAATGTTGATCCAACCCCAAGGTCGTTCGGAGAGGGGGAAAATGAGATTGTTGATTAATTAAAATTAAAGGTGTAAGATACTGCAAGGTAAAAGGGGGGGGGGGGGAGAGTAGGGGAAGAGGGGGGTTTGTAGAGGGATATATAATTAAGTAGAAGCTAATAATTTGTTAGTTACTAGTACGGAGTACGTCGCCCTGAACAAGACTTGAATCGAAAGACTGGGGATTTAAATCCTGATGCCTCGTTGTCGGCGTCAGCGAGCGCTTGTCCCCGTCATGTGTGGTACGGAAGAGGAAACATCAATTTTAGCCTCCGTTTCTTAGCGTCATCGGAGCCCCGACTTTCCGAGCCTGTTTTATGCATTGCTTGCCTTTTACTCAGTTATGTTAAGCGGCGTATTATCATCTAACAATTTTAATGATTCATGCGTATCGAGCGTATTACTAACTGAGAAAGTATTAGTTATTCCAATTGCATGGCAATTGCATGGAAAGGACAGCATGCAAATAAATGGTCGAGAGTCACTACGGTGAATTACAGTGCATATACATACTGTACCCCTGGACTACATAATCTTTGTTGTACAGAAAGTAGGCAAGGTATGTCGGAATAATAACAGAGATGATCAAGCGACAGGCAAGCCACCACGAGCCACTCGGTCGGAACGGAGAGATGAGCGCTCACTCACACACATGCATGAAGGTAAGAATGAATCTGCAAAATAGTCTCCAGCCACGGTACAAAACTCACTTGCGTATTGAAGGCACCCATGAAGACCACGTACAACAAAAGAAGCCTAACAGATCAGACTCCCTTGAGACATGACCTACTATCAGTCGCGACTCGGGAGCATAATAGAGTATTATTGGTCCACTCTCTGCTCGGTTCTAGAACACCTATCAAGACGGTATCGCCTATCAATGAAAATTAGAGAGCCTGGAGCTGGAGGTCTTCTGCGGGCACTTTATTAGGCCTAGCTCAGGTATATTATACTAGACGGGCAATCGATGCGTGCTAATGGCGAGGGAGAAATCGAGAAAGAACCAGTGCGACGTCCAAGTATCGGTGCCTAAAGAGAGCTTTAGCGCGGGCAACAAAACCACTACCTCAGGGCGGGGTCTGGCTCGGGTCAAAAGACCCGCTTCGCTCATGGACTGGACAGGTACGTACGTACTGTATTCGGCTACCAAACGAATACGCCGGCGTACAGTTTTGATCTCAAAGAGTGCGTGCCAGCATATCATAAGTATGAACCTCGTATTTCCAGTAGAAAATCTTCGATTTGATTGGTGTGATGCAAGGCATCCGTTTCAGGTTCGATCGGGGTCGGGGCTTATAACCTCCGGTCTCCTCGATGACAAAACCAACCAACTGAACTTCGGGCTTGAAATCGATTCCGTTCCATGGATGGTATCTACTAGTCAAGGTAGGAACTTACTACGTATCGTTGGAGGTACCCTGTAGTCTTAAGTCCTCTTCACTCTACGTACTCTGTACTCTGTAAAGACTTGTAAATATAGTTAGGCTAGTAAACGCCGCTTATCCCCGTACCTTCAACCAGCCATCGGGCGCTAAATTACCGAGTAGCTTCCTCATGCTGCTTGTGACTTGGTCTGCAGTACGGATCAATGTTCATGGGAGGTCCGTGGTTAACAATGGAAAAGACATGCAGTATAAATCGAGTAACTAATCATGGACATGCACAGAAAAACCATTGACACTGTTATGTTATGAGACGAAAGACCAGTGAGTCACTTCCCCGGACACGATGATGGTTGCTGATGTTATTGCATAAAACAGCGGAAGGAGCTTGATCCGACCTACGGAATACTATAAATGGACCCCGATCCTGTTGGGAGCCTCGATAACTGGAAGTAGGGAACGGAATTCCGACCGTTGCTTACTGCCCATAATATTATCGTCTGGTTTCGCCTGTTGTCTCAGACTAGGGGCACTCGAGAGTTCGATGGCTCTTTGATAGGTGTTTAGTGTGGCGGCGACGACGGCTTGGTCCTCTCGATGTGTTAAAACCTACTTACTCCTTATGGTGTGAAAAGTTATAGAATGGCTTGGCTTTTTGTGTGAGTCATCGAGTATTGGATGAATCTGGTACTCAATAATTCATCAAGGTTGACCTGATGACCCTCAGCCAAGTGACGGTATGATGACTCAATGCTGTACCCAAGTCAACTATACGCTAGGTGCAGATAGCGCAAAGGAAATGATGAGCAGAGAACCAAATACGGTGAGAGTATGTGCATGGAAACAGACAATAAGGACAAAGCAGTATTGATCGTGTTGAACTTGCTATGGCCCCGCCATGGTAGTTTACCTGTCTGATCGGATATTTGGCGGTCAGCAAAGGCCATGCGGATATACCCTCCGGGCAGATCCCGCCGGGCTACTATCAAGTGACTTGTGATAAGTCTCGACCATCGGCGCAAGATATAGAAACTTGCTCTTCAATCAGATAAAAGAGGGAACACATCGAGATAAGAGATTAATGTAGCAAAGTGCCGAATTAAAACAACTGAATTGCGCTAGCAACCAAGGCCATATCAATAACATGGTTAATATACATCAGTTGAGGGAACAGATATGCCGGTTGCCTCAGGCATAGATCACATGACCTACCGAAGCGAAACGCTAAGCCCTGCCCGCACAAAAAAACTACCACTACGAACGGCGATTGAAGACGGTCGACAACCTCACTACCGCCAGTCCATACCCTCAGCTCGCCGTCGCGACAAGCCTTCAAGATGCCGGTTAGCAGCCCCTATATGATATGAACGGATGTTGCTATGGGATATTTTTCACGTCCTGCCATTCTGGCCAGACGGATATCACATGGAAACCGCTAGGATGAGGATCAAGGAGGCAGGCTAACGCTTTTATCTTTTCTTCAATATAGAGCCACAAGAGTTTCCGCACCAAGCAGAAGCTTGCCAAAGCTCAGAGACAGAACCGTCCTATCCCCCAGTGGATTCGTCTCCGCACTGGTAACACCATCAGGTAAATAAGAACTCTTGATTTCACCACCATTCGATTCCCGTGTGACGCTGCGACCCCCCGATGGCCTTGGATCGCCTGGCAAAATGAGAGAAGACGGAAGAACTACGAAGGAAAGGATTGGGAATTAACACTGGATGAGCAACCACCACGACTATTTTCTACTTGCCAGGATTCGACGATACTCTGCCCTAGGGGGGTTGGAATTCTTTTCCAAGATGCACACACGGGTGATCAGATGATACTCAGGAATAGGTCGGATGGCTGACCTCGCTTCCTCTTATCTTTCCAGATACAACGCCAAGCGGAGGCACTGGCGCAAGACCCGTCTCGGTATCTAAATTCGATCAAGCCAACCAACCGACTTCTTCGATTTCGCCCGAGATGTCTTTTCTTTATCCCTGGGAATGTTTCGTTCAGTTGTGATACCGCCAACTCTTGTGTGCCTCTCTTGCTCGCGATGATTGAATCTGCATCATCCTGAACTTGTCGACACGCTGCTTTCTGATCCACACCCTTCACCTTCTCTCCTTCGGTTTTTGCTCCTGTTTCCCGGCAAGCATTTTTATGTGGCAAGCGAATAATCGTTTCTGAACGTCGAACGATATCCGGGACAGGTCTGGTTGAGGTGCAAGCAGTCGTTTTTGGACTGGTTCTGTGATACGGTTATGAATCATGCAATTTAATTACACGAGCTGAGAAAAACAAAAATCGAAAACTTATGAAGGATAACGAGCACTGAACGAAGGTTTTTTTTCCTTCTGGGGACTCTACTCTTCGCTCCCACTTGAACGCGGGCTATCTGGAGCGATAAATCTACCCAAAAAGAGAGTCTCTTCGCCTGTCTTTGCCGAGGTAGCTTTTGTTTCAAGTCATGGATTGACCTTGTAGGAAGTCATATATCGCTGCTAGTATGGTCACTCAAAATTCTGGCTCCGTATATCTTCAAAATCACGAGCATACAATCATACCCCTACAGACGCGACCCTGCGGTCTTGATAAAGTAAAATATGTTCCTAGACCCGGAGTATCTTCAGCATCGTTTAGGCCAATCTCATACAGTAGAGCTAACTCATCTGAAATGGGTGTCAAGGACACAACATCGTAACAAAGTTTGTATTTCAGCTACTTATCGATTAAGCTATATCCCACTGTTGCCCCTAGACAATGGTCCAGGGCCAGTAGGACAAAAAGAAACAAAAAGAACCATGCGCTGACATGAAAAAGCGAGAACCGAACGCCGGGAACTGCAGCAACTGGAGACCATATGAGGTGTATCAAGCGAAACCATTGTTGAGGACTGCCTATCTTCACAGAGACCACATTTTCCATAGCGAGCCTGCGATCCTTGGAAGATATGGCAGTGCCGCTGACCAGTGACACCAATTTAGCGACTGCAAAGCAACCGATTAGCATACGTCTCTCCTGTTGTTTACGGCACCCGGTAGGAGTTCATGCACTTACTCTTCAGCCCACTCATTCTCCCGGCGGATCTGATCCTCCTCCTCAGGAGTGAAATCGTTCTGAATGTTGAATGTCTTGCGGATTTCTTCGGGGGACTTGCCCTTGATCATGTTGGCGACGGTCTTGCAGCCAACATCCAGCAGGCCCTTGATATCGAGGTAGTTCGCGGCCAAGATAATCTCAAACAGCATCTCTTGATCGACCTGCATGAACTTCTGGTCCCACTCATCGATGTCGGTGGTCTTACGACGAGAGTCATCGTCGTCACCGGTGCTGGGGGGGTCGCCCTTGTGGTGCTCGCACCACTCAATGACCTTCCTCAGGACAGCTTCATTGACCTACGGAGCCGAAGGTTTGTTTAATGAATGGTGAGGACAAGTGGAAAAGGGTGGTAGGAATAACATACGTTAGGGATAGGGATAGCTTCCGTAGTATCACCAAGATCCTCGAGCAAATTCTTGATCAGAACAGAGCGTTGAGCGACATCGCGGTCTAAAGAAGCAGCATAAGTTAGACTTCAGATTCAGCGGTAAAGTGTCAAGGTGACAGGGACGTGTGGGGGGGGGGGGGGGGGTGTGTACTAACCGATAGTAATCACAACCCCATCGCTGCTCTGGAATCTGAGCGTTGTTGCAGACATCTTGAAAATGGGAGGGAGGGTACTGGCGGGCCTAGAATGAATAGGTAGATGTTAGGGACATGTTACTCGACAAGCGCAAGAATATAAACCTGCCCAGAGGGGTACTCAAGTGGGGGTTCGTTGCTGCTTACAGTCAAGAATTGTTTTTGAGATGAGCGTGAGTCTCAGATGGAAGCTGGAGGGATTCGAAGGTATAAATAGATGAGAGAGGAGTGGCTTTGTGGTGAGTGAAGGCAGGAAATGTTGAAATTTAGTGTGTCGAAGTGAGTAGGTGTGTAGGAGGAGAAGCCCGAACTGGAGATCAAAGGGACCGGACGTTGTGAAAGAGCAGATGGCTGAGGCTGATGACTGGTCCTAGTTCGAGGGGGCGGGAAATCTCCGTCATCATTCGCTGCTGTGACGCCCCACTTGCGCGGTTGCAGCCTGTGGCTGCCTGGTTAATGCCTTGATTATGCTATCGTCTTTATGCCTTTATGCCTTTGTGCCTTTGTGCCTTAGTGTCTTTGTGCCTTTGTGCCTTAGTACCTGAGCATCTTAGTGCCTTGATGCCTGGTCATCTGGGTGTCTGGTTGAGGCTGTGCTATCCGAAATACAACAAATTGAACAGACTTTCACAGAAGAACACCTTCAAAATCGACAAGCGAGTTCCCCAATGCATTGTACCTTGTTCTTTTATCGAGGGTGTGTCGTAGCATACACCACTCGTACACTTAGACCTCGTCTTCAATGGCTCGTTCTTTATTTCAATCTCAGTGGCATCTGTTCCATTCAACGACTCTGGTGTTAGTGAGAATCCTTCCACAGAGTACAGTACAGTAAATAAAATACAGTACTGTACATGCTCAGCCGATTAGCATCTCAAAAGGACCAGAGCACAACAGTACATACGACTCAGTCCCTACCCAGTCATTGAATTCTTTGCCGTATCCGAACAAGATTGATCAGACTGGACCAGATGCATACTGAGGGTGTCTCAGAACAATCTTATCTATGTCGCAACAGGTCTAAGTCAATGCGCCCACTACAGGGGACAATCAACCAGGATATTGTATACATCTCGAGATGATGGCTGCTGTCTCCCTCTCCGAAGCGAGAGTTCAGCTAGCTACCAAGCTCTCTCGTTTGCCCCACTTCCAGCATTGTTGCTCCAGCGCAGGGGGGGGCTCCTTTCACCCCCAAAACGAAGAGGGGGAAAAAAAAAGGACGTCGATAGCGCTGAGGTGCCATTAGTCCTCGTCGCTCAATGATATCACCCAACAACGCGTCGCCGGTTATCCGTCCGCCAAACTGACCGGAATCTTATTATCCTCCTCCCTCTGTCTCCCTTCCTTCCTTCGTTTGGCGCTTATGCCTGAGACCGTCGTTCCTTAATCTTCCTTAAATCTGTTCTTCAGTCCTTCTTCAGGTACCTGAACCCCCCGTAGGCATGTACCATACTCTCCACCGGACTTGACCTTCGTCACCTTCTACATCGCCCGCACATCTTACAGAGTCATGTGGTGGCGGCGAACATATTTGTTGCTGTTGGTAATCCGGGTATATTTTGCGCTGTCACCAAGCTATCTACACCCCGATGAAAACTTCCAAGGTCCTGAGGTCTTTGCAGGTAAGTTTCCAGCATAATAGCAGTCTGATCCGCGACTCTTTCCGGCTCCCCACCGCTCGCCAATGCCGTACATCTGATATGACTTTCATCTATTCCTTCGGCCGCATACACTTACTAGTCACTTCATAGGTCGGATTCTCTCCTATCCGTCTCAACTCCCTTGGGAATTCACTGCCGATAAGCCGATCCGTAGCGTCTTCCCACTATGGCCGATCTACGAGGTGCCAATGAACTTTTTGAAATGGTTCTATACGGAAACTGGGGCCCAAAATCCTCCTCCACAGCTAGTCTACTTTGTGCTGCGCGGGGTCATGTTTCTACTTAGCTTTGTCTTAGAAGACTGGGCGGTATATGAGCTGGTTCCCTTGCCGCGCCATCGCCGCGCGACGGTGGTGCTGGTGGCATCTTCGTATGTCACCTGGACATATCAGACGCACACCTTCTCAAACTCACTCGAGACCCTCTTGGTGACCTGGAGCTTAGTTTTGATTCGTCGCATTGCTGAAAATAAGGTAGGCACATTCATTTGAGCTGAAATGATAGAAAAACCCGTGGCTAAGCTTGTTGACAGCGACATCCTCCACTTTTTTCTTGCGCTGTGTTGTCGTTGATCGCAGTCATAGGTGTATTCAACAGAATCACCTTTCCTGCCTTTGTGCTCGTTCCAGGACTCCAACTGCTCCCTCACCTTTGGCATAGGTAAGTTCTTAAACCGCACACTTTAACTTGTATGTTCACAGTGTTGACCTTCAATGATAGGCCTTCATCTTTCCTTTCGATCGTTGGATTTGGCCTGGGCTTTTTCTGCCTTGCCGTCTTGGTTGATACGAAGTTCTACAGCTCACCTGCGACTTTCTGGGATGCCCTTCACAGTCCTGTAATTACTCCGATCAACAATCTGCTTTATAACTCCGACAAGTCGAATCTGGCGCTTCATGGACTCCACCCTCGATACCACCACTTCCTGGTGAATTTACCACAACTACTAGGCCCGGCATATTTAGCCATGATCTTGTCATTATTCAACTTCTCAGCCGTTCCATCTTGGCTTAGGGATATGCGCGCAGTCTCGGCCATCTCGGCAACTGTCATGCTTTCAATATTCCCTCACCAAGAACCCAGATTCCTGCTTCCTTGTGTCCCCCTTCTCCTCAGTTGTTTGCGCATACGCAACACCCGGAATTCCCGGTGGTTTCTAGTCGCCTGGGCCACCTTCAATGCTATCCTAGGGTTCCTCATGGGAGTATACCATCAAGGAGGAGTTGTGCCTGCACAGCTGGCGATGCCGTCTATCATTTCAGAAAGCGTACGTGGGTCAGACCTTGGCTCGCTCAATCCTCGGCTCGAAACAGATGCCACCGTGCTCTGGTGGAAAACGTATTCTCCCCCACTTTGGCTTCTGGGAAATGACACCACCCTTCCAGTAGATATCCGAACTCGAGACTTGATGGGAATGCCAGGATCAGAAGTGGTTGAAGAACTCGACAAATTGGTACCTTCATGTCACGAGAAGGAGCAAGCTGAAAGCCAAGGCGTGTCTTCACCCTTGGTGTTCGTGGTTGCCCCCAAGTCTGCTACATTCTTGGACCAATATGTTGCTCCTTTGGCCTCGTCGTCCGACCCGTCGGATCTTGAGCTGCATGAGCTGTGGCACTGGAGCAATCACCTCAATTTAGATGATCTCAACTTTGGTGACGACGGCATCCTGCCGACACTCAAACGAGTGACTGGGAGAAGAGGACTGGCTGTGTGGGGAGCACGGAGAGTTGGATGTGCTTGACTTAAGTCCTAGCCACATCAGCTCACACCGATCACCTGGTGCTGGAAGCGATAGTTTTCACGGGTTTGACATCGGCTTACCTCATCGAATCTAAGTTCACTAACTTAACCATTCTTGCCCTTTGATATTCTCATTGCCTTGCTTTTCTTTATATCTTCACATGCCAACCTCATAGTGGGCTGTCTCTTCGATCTTCACTATCTTCTTGTCTATTCATCTCATTTGCCTCTATTTCACTACCTTCACCACATACACTGTCTGGGTTATGGAACATGTGAGGTAAACAACTTGCGATACAATATACCCTTCTTTCCCCCTTCCACAAATCATGCATATATACCCGGCCTATCTGCTTTCATTTCAGTCCTCTATCCGCCGGCGGCTCCTACAAAATTCCATCATTCACAATCTAGTCCCTTGCAGTCAATCTAGCAAAATACGTTGTTGGCTCGAGCTTAAGTCGCAATGCTTGACAGCTCAGAAAGTGTCTCGTCCATTTTCTGTATACTCGCTGTGTGAATCATCTTACCCACCGTGCCCTCAGCTCGTGGAGTCACACGGGCAGTACCGAAAGGGAGTTGGTGCCCCCCCATCGAGTCACGCTCGCATCGCCCTCCTTTCCAGCGTCTAGACTTCGAAATCGATCCAGACCTGCCCATCTCGAAAAGCTATCGACAGCCTGACGTAGATTAACCATGTCCAACCCTAATCATATACTGTAGAAACAAGTTTTCATGATTCCAGGACAAAAGTCCCATGCTTCTGAATTTTCCGCTTGGGTACTGAGTACACGACCAGGACTTGCACGGATTATCTAAGTGGACCAATGAAGAGTAGAGAAGACGTATAAGCTTGAGTACGAGCTCCTAAATAAAACTTATTAGGCAACGGAAGAATATAAAGACATGCCCAGTACAGGCAGAGAAGAAAGAAGAGATGCAAAGAGGAATAAGATGTTACGAGGCATCCGCCGGCTAGGAGGCTTGCACGGGACGGTACGAGCTCCCAGGCAGACTTGGGTTTGACCGCGATCTATTCTACATAGTCGCCCTGGTGGATAATTATTGCGAGAGTATAATAAGAGGGACACATCACGACGTTCATTATCAGAGAAGATGAGAGATCAATAGGGAAGAGCAGCATCCATTGGTAGGATGTTCAGCTAGATCGAAACATAAGAATAGGTGTGGAATCATAGATCATCAGGGTCGTCCGGGTTCTCGAACAAATAATTAGCAGCGAGCTCTTCGTTCTTGTCGCAAGCGAAGTAGGCCTGGATGACGAGATCCCGAGAAAATCCAAGTCGGCAGAGCTGGTAATGAAGTTAGCAGCATCCCTAGACTTTCAATTTGTTCCTCATCAAAGAACATGAGAGGATACATACGCGTTCAATGGCGTCCCGTTCTTCTTCTGTGACGTGGATCTGATGCGTGCCGGGGGGGAGAGCCGCGTCGTCCTCCTCGCTCAACAATTGGAGAAACTGCTCCTCGTTCTGACCAATGAGCTGCGCAATTTGAGGATTGCCAGTAGCAACTTGTTGCAGGATAGGCTCGAGCATCTGCGGTTGTTGCTGGACTAGCTGACGGAGTTGCTGGAAGTGAGGGTTATTCCGGA